CGGTTGCGCAAATTGCAATCCCCAGCACAAAAAAGGAGTCCCACACAAACACCGTCTACGGGTCCGAGTACTGCTTCCGAAATTACAAGGCCCCGGAGCATTACCCAAGCCACGAGCTTTGCAACGCCTATTAGTGGTGTTTCTTACGCACAGGCCGCTAGAGGTGGACCGTCAAATAAGAATACCACAAGTGACACTTTGTTCACTGAAATGCTTCAGCAACAACAACGTCAGTTTGACGCAATTAATGCCGAGCTCAAAGCGATGCGAGAAGTACAATCCCAACAAGCAACCATGCTAAACAGTTTAATGGCCATCATAACCAAGCTTGCCTACAAATAATGGCTTTACGTGTGGGTATCTGGAACGCCAATGGCCTGAGAAACAAGACTCAGGAACTGGCTGCGTTTCTCTCACAAGAAAACATAGATATAATGTTAATAACAGAAACTCATGAGTGCCCCACTACACAAATTTTCGGATACGAACACTATCAGGCTCATGGTGAAGGAGCAAACTGCTTTGGTGGATCCTCAATCCTCATACGAGCAACAATACCGCATACACCTTTACTGTCAATTTGCAACGCAACAATGCAGGTCTCAGCCATCACCCTGCCTACGTCTATTGGAGCGATCGAAGTTGCGTCAATTTATCTTCCGCCAAACACTGGTCTGTGTGATCATCACATGGAACAGGTTCTAGGCCAAAGGTTGAATAAGACCCTCATCGGCGGCGACTGGAATGGATGGCACCCATTTTGGGGAAGCAATAGTGCGAATCGTCGCGGAGAAGTCATATTTGAGGCGATTCAAAACTTACAATTCAGCATATTGGCGACTGGAGCCCCCACCCGTTACCCAATTAATGGACACAGGCCCTCGGCAATCGACTTCGCTGTCTACAAAGGCATCTGTGACCGGCAATTGACCATTGAAGAATCCTTGGACCTATCCTCTGACCACCTGCCACTAATAGTCACAATCCACGCGCAGCCACAGCCCTTGCCCATTAGGAAACAACTACTGCCAGCAGGATCAGATTTAGGAGTCTTTAGGCGCGAGCTCCATTACTCTTTGCACATAGAAATGGAACTTAACACTCCTGAAGACGTGGACTACGCAGCAAACAAACTGCAGGAAGAAATAGTCAAAGCTGCGCACCAAGCCGCCCCACCATCTTGCCAAACAAGACAACAGTCTCCGTACAACATCCCCCTCACCTTGGAGGCCCAACACCTACTAATACACAAAAGATGGGCCAGGAGACGCTGGTTAAGATTACGCACGCCTGATGCCAAATCCACGTACAACGAAGCCACGAGGCATCTTAAAGCTGCTCTCGCCCTGCTTCAAAAGAGGTGTATCAGCGATGCGCTGGTACGAGCTGAATCGCCCACTGACGCAGAGTTTCAATTATGGAAATTTACAAGAAAGCTCAAACGGCAGCCAATACGTCGACATCCCATTCGGAGCATTTCTGGTTCCTGGCACATTGGTGACGAAGCTCAAGCTGAGGCTTTTGCAAACCACCTTCAAGACCAATTCACGCCGGTGATTACCGCAGAGGCCTCAGAAATCGAAGCAACAGAAGACATCGTTCTCTCGCCCCTCCCAGCTGAAGACCAGATAACTGGATGTACAAAAGAAGAGGTTCTTGAACACATCAGAAGAGTGAAGGCAAAAAAATCCCCTGGATATGATCTAATAAACGGCAGAGTCCTTAGAGCACTGCCTGACTCCACCATAGACTACATAACTATGGTGTACAACGCCATGCTCCGCATCCGGCACTTTCCAGCCTGCTGGAAGCGCGCCGTGATTGTGATGATTCCTAAGCCTGGCAAACCCGTGGGAGAAATTGAGTCGTACAGACCAATTAGCCTGTTGCCAGTACTCTCCAAAATATTCGAAAGAATATTTCTGGAACGAGTACTGACACATCTGGGACGCCAGGAGGCCATTCCAAACCATCAGTTTGGCTTCAGGAGACAGCATGGAACACCGGAACAGGTTCACAGAGTTGTGCACCATATCCTTGGAGCCTTTGAAGAAAAGATGTACTGCTCTGCCGTCTTTTTAGACATCAAACAGGCGTTTGATCGAGTTTGGCACCTGGGACTGCTGCAGAAAGTGAGGACCACCCTTCCAGCCCCATTTTTCGCGTTGCTATCCTCATACCTTATTGGAAGAACCTTCCAAGTGTCAAGGGGGCAAGCAGTATCCTTGACTAGACCAATTATGGCTGGAGTACCACAGGGTAGTGTTCTAGGCCCAACACTTTATACTTTATTCACAGGAGATATGCCAACTCCCGAGCCAAATATAGGAAGTACAGATGCAGTACTCATAGCGACCTATGCAGATGACACCGCCATCTTATCACGTCACGTATCTGCGCAAGAAGCTTCAGACTCACTACAAAAATATCTGGACTCTTTCGGACGCTGGGCAAAACGGTGGTGTATCACCATTAATGCACAAAAGTCTGTACATACTACCTTCGCCACTAGAAGAGGAGATTGCCCAAGCGTTGCATTGGGGCCCACTATTCCCAAAGCCTCAAAAGTAAAGTACCTTGGTATCACTCTTGACAGAAGGCTGACTTTTAAAGCGCACATAAGTCAAGTAACCTCAAAATGCAAAAGCAAGCTAAAAACCCTCGACTGGATGCTGAGAGCTTCAAGCAAGTTGTCTTACAGCAGCAAGGCCGCCATCTACAAGGCAATAGTTGTCCCAACCTTCGTATATGGTATCTCTCTATGGGGCTCCTCGGCGAAGACTACAAGGAACAAAATTCAGACCCTGCAGAATAAAGCACTACGCAGATGGACTGGAGCCAGCTGGTTTGTAAGAAACTCAGTCTTACATAGGGATTTAGCAATTCCCACAGTTGCTGAACTCATTGGGCGACACAGTTCAAGATACGCGGACAGACTTGCAGCGCATCCTAACCATCTCGCAAGCAACCTGGCTATAAACAACAATAGGCGAAGACTGAAGAGATTGCATCCTCTAGACAATATTAGAACTAATTAAGATAGTAGCTACAAGTGCAGAATAATTGGCATATCTGCCCTCCCATTAGTTAAGGTTTAGAGCTAAATGCGCTATAGAGTCTAAGACAATAAGCTGCAACAAAATAAAGATAAAAAAAAAAAAAAAAAAAAAAAAAAAAAAAAAAAAAAAAAAAAAAAAAAAAATATTATAAAGTAAGCGACAAAAAAATATAAAAATAAATATGAAAAAATAGACAAAAATATATATATATGCTTAAATAAATTAAATATATCATCAGCTCATGAAATTAAGAAAAAAGTAAAATTAGAGATAATGATGAGATAATAATAATAAGTTAATAATAAGAATAACTCTACTGAAAGGCTCTAAAAAGTGAGTTCGATCTTTTTAGCTATGCAAATTTGGCTTCAGTCTCTCGCACATTTGCCTCACTGTAAGCTGTGAGCTCTTCCGTTGAACTGGAAAACTGCCTAAAACGTTGTTAACTCTGCCTCTGGGCCAGGCTAGGCTAACTTAGCTGGCTGGCTGGCTGACTGGCTGGTTGGAATATTTGATCTGCATTTGAAATGCAATTTTGTTCGCATGTGAAATCTAATAACTCAAGCCAAAGTGCAGGGGGCGTGGCTAAAGCGTGTGGCTTTTTCACAGTTTTGTGTTGAAATCAGCGTCAGACATTTCATTTCATCAATTTGAAGACCATGCAACATTTGTTCAAAATTGAAAGTGCTACCAGAAATGGCCTACACGCAAAGCCCTACAGCTTAACAGCCCACGAATGAAATGATGTGTTGCTTTTGTGTCCAAATTTTTTATCTCAGAGGATCTCTGTGTGCATGTGTGTGGGTGTGTGGGTGTCAACATCAAAATAGGCTTTGCTGGGCACTAAATCGAACAACCATAATAATACAATGCCTAAATCTCTGACACATATATTCAATGGCAATAAAATGTATAAATGTGGCTAAATACACACACACATATATATACATCCATATGTACGTTTGATCGGCCTACACACTCGCATACACACACATGACCATGCCAAGGTGCACCACAGCGAGTGGTTGGCCAGGTCGATGGTGGGCGCCTGCTTTCCACTTCCATTGATTGAAAACTTTCACGTCTCTTTTTAAGTGCATGCGGGTGCTGTGTATGTGTAAAGCGGTCGCTGCTGATGGCTTTTTGCGGAATACACGGAAGCCAGGCGCAAAGAAAAAAGATGAAAAAAAAAAACACACTGAAATGCCTAGCACTGAAACGCATTTGCAATGGAAAGTAAAAGTTGTTGCTGTCCAGGGACGCTTATATGGTGCGTCGCTGGCACCGCATGCGAATTCCAATTTTCCCACATACATTTTAACTATTTTGAGCATTTTGGCTCAAAGGCAAGTTTTAACACCAACATTTGGCATTTTGGCCCGAGCAATTTCCATTTGGTACGTTTGCTAATTTGCATAGGCTTTTGGCCAAATGCCCACATATACAAAGCGTTGTATTCGGTTCTAAGCGTTCGCATTCGCTGTCTTCTAACAATTTCCGTACGTAATTAATGCCTCCGCTCTCAGTGTGTTTTCATAATTCAAATTGACGCCAACGCGCCAAATATCCATTAACAAGCGAGTGCAAGCGAGATGGCCGCTGTTAACAGCGCATGATTAACAGACTTAGCGCTGCCACCTAACACAATATAATTTTCTATAATGCTTACGATCCATTTTTCGACCATCAAAAGGTGTAAGATAAGCAGGAATATATTTTATTAAATCAATTTCATTGTATTTAGTTTTATATTTATTAAAAAATTGTTATTTTAAGCTATATTTCTTAAAAATATCAAACAGCTGCGCAGTGCGTTAACTGTGGCAGCGCTGTTAAGCGATCTTCAACGCCGTTAAGCCGCTGTTATACTCAAAATGGCATGTTGGCTCTCCTCCTTTCATTTTCTTTCGTCAATGCGTTTTGCGTTCAGTTTCTTTTTCTCTGTCTTTGCGTGCGGTTCAGTTTTAGAAGTAGGAAGAATCGTTTAAGTAGAGGCGAGATCCGTGCGTTTTCCTTTTACCCGACTCGAATACATTTTTAAATAAACAAAAAAAAAATAAGAAAAGGAATTCTTTATTAGTTACCGAACGCAGTGTGCAACAAATGCAAATGTATGCAACTTTCCAAACAATATTAATGTGAAACAAAATGAAAGCAACAAATTCACAAAACTGGAAACAACAACAAATAAAACATAATCAGCAGCAACAGTAAATTGTGCATATTTCATGCGAAATTTCCAGTGTTTTAGTTGAAATATAACTAATTTTCTGCAATTCTTGGCACAATAAGCACGTCGAAAAATCCAAATTTGTGCAATTATGCATTCGAATGTCGCATCCATATTCTCTACATATAAGAAATATGTTAATTTGCATATAAAAATTAATTTCTTTTTGTTGTACTTCTTGGGGCTGCAGCAGCCACGGAATGAGAATAAGAGAGGCAGCGAGAAAGAGAGCGAACAAATAAGCAGCTATTTTGACATTCTGCTTTCATTCATCTCCGTTGCTCACGATTACGCTCACAAACACATGCATACACGCACACAAATTAACTGTCTCTATGTATGGTTAGTGTGTGTGTGTGTGTGTACTGGTAAAACGTAGACTGCGCCGTTTGTTTTCTCTTCTTCTTACCGATCTGAGGCAGCCGCGCTGCTGCGTTGAGGAATTTTTTCAGTCTTCATTTTAAACTTGCGCTCTCTCCCTCTCTCTGGCTCTGCGCTGCTGACGTTGTTGTTGTGTTTTCGTTTTGTTTCTCTCGAAATTCTCAAACTTTTTGGGTGGAGTTGTTTTTAATCTGTTTCTGTTATTATTGAAAATTCAGCTCGTAATCAAAAACAATTGTGTGTATCTCATTTTGCAGTAACATTTAAACATTAAAAAGCAACAAGTAATCAAAGCGTGTTAAAGCAACAAATATTTATATATATATATACATATATAATAGCCTTTTGTTTAGCAATTGTGCAATACCCGAAAAAAACCGAACATAGAGAAACAGTCGAAAGAGTTTAATACGCATCATAAAAGAATCTCGGCTACAAAAAAAAATAAAAACATTGTGCAACTAAGTAAACAATTGTAAAAGCTTAAACAAAACACACTCACCCACACACACATACAAATATATACACACACTACAACAGAATGAGTGTCTGTGAGAATAAGACCGTTGTGCAACAGCAATTGCAACAACAGGCCGCCGCTGCCGTTGCGGCTGCCGCAGCCGCTGCCGTTGCTCAGCAGCAGCAGCAACAGCAACAACAACAGCCCCCGCAAGTGGTGCCACAGCCGCAGCACATGACGCCCCAACAACAACAACAGAGCACACAAAGCATTGCCGACTATTTGGCACAATTGCTAAAGGATCGCAAACAGTTGGCCGCATTTCCAAATGTCTTTACGCACGTGGAGCGACTGCTGGATGAAGGTAAGTTATTTATACAAATTTATATATATATTTATATATATATATACCAAGGGTTCAACTGTACGATCTAGGATGCTGAATAGTTCATATGTTTCACTGCTTTTGATTTGATTTTAGAATCTAGAAAAACTGCCAGCCGGCCATTATTTAGTTACTTATTAATATGAGTCAAGATCTGATTTACCCCAATAAGCGCCACTTTGTTGCTCTCTTTATTGTTGCTTTCTATATTTAAAGTCGCGTCTGTGCCCTGATCTTGAGTTCATTCCACCTTGCCGGAGAACCCAAAGTCAACGCTGCCAACGTAGCAGTCGCTGTCGCTGTCGACGTCGACGTCGGCGTCAGTTGTTTGTTATTTTTAGTTATTTCCTTTTTGTGTGCCTGTTCGTTTCTGTCTGCATTCTCTCTTGGTCTCTCTGTGAAGAGTCTACTCTTGTCTCTCGTTTGCGCTGTTTGTTATGTTACTTACAACTTATTTAGCTTGCAACGGGACCCCCGCTGCAACACAGTTGCAGGAGTTGCCTTGATCACTTCCGAGTGCTCGTAAATGTATCCAAATGTATCTGACTGTGCAACTGAATTTGAATAAGGCTCGTCTGTTTAAACATATTGCCTGTGTGAGTGTGTGCCACAGGCCCACGCCTTTGCCTCGGCAAACAGCCTCAAGAAAATTAATAAAGAGAGCCGAAAAATCAACACAACGACAAACAACAAGAGCAGCCGCTGGGGGCGTGGCACACACTCAGGACCACAAAACATAACTGTGCGACGACTACCTGAGTGTTCACAGCTTGTCAGTGGTGCGAAATTTACTTCCATCTCTTTATAAGTGGCGGGTTTTTTTTTGCTTTTTGAAAAAGTGAAAAGTAGCATAATTTCATATATTTTATTAAGTTCATATTTTTAGTGATATTAAGTGATTTGTGACGACAATTGCTTTAGATAAATTTTGTTCAAAATTAACAGATAACGAAATCTTAGACAAAAACAGTTGCCCAATTAAATAATTAAATTAAAATCCCAAATTATAAATCATAATTTGGTTTAATATCCTTCTAGTTACAACTAGATCATTTATAGATCAATAGATTGAAATGTTCTCACAAGCAAAAAAACTCATAATTGTAAAAACTAATTCATAATGAATGCTTATTATTATGTTCGTATATATTTTATATATTACAAATAGAAATCACTTATCTGGTTACTTTTGTAACCCCCTTGTCTACCCAGAACTAGCTTCGTTTGTTGATTCTCAAATGTTGGCAACGCTGCAGCTCGTTTTCTCAAATCACAAACGCTTGGTTTGGTTTCAAATTGTTGTTGTTGTTTGCCCAACATCTGTTGGCCATATGCATATATGTATATGTGTGTCGTATGTGTCGCCTCTTGGTAATGACAAAATTATGTTGCACAGATACATTTACAGATACGTAGATACTCGGAGTATTGCAAACTAGTTTTTTTTTTGTCTACAAATTGTGTTTGCCAAAAGCAAAGCGTTGACAATTTGTAAAACTCGTTCGACCAGCTATAAGAAAATGTTTTTGGTTTTGTTTTTTACCTGCTTGCTGCTCGCAACAACGAAAACAACCAAACAACCAACCAACCACCCACCCGCCCGCTTAACACTCAACAGCTGTGGGAGTGTGGGTGTGTGGGCGTGTGGTTTGAACTATTTGGTCAACTTATGTGTTCACACCCGGACATTGGACCTGGGCTGTGGGTCGAATTGTGAACGGCTTTCGACTTTTCAACTTTCAGCCAGAAGTTTTGGGGTTTGTTGTATTTTCTTCACTGTCGCTTTTGCTACTTTCTCTATTTTCAATTGCTGCCGTCGTTGGCCTTCTTGTTGTTGTGCTGAGTGTCTGCTGTACGAATACGGGCTTACCCAATCTTGCTCGTTGTAAAAAGAATTCTGCTTAAGCATTCCTCTTAAAATTGTTGTCTATACGTATTATATATGAATTTTTACCTGGCATTTTTGTGCGCCATATTTTTTTGCTAGCCTTCTCAATTTACTGAAAATATTAAGTAAAATTTGAATAAAATTTTATTACAATTTTTATCATCCTATTTCATCTTTCGGTCTTGATTTTATTAGTTACAAAAGAGAATGTTCGGAATCCCCTGCCATATATCATAGACTATGGCATATAGAATTCATACCTGTTGCAACCTGTTGGTCGCTCATTTGTGTTGCACAAATATGTTAAATGTGCTCCCCACAGATATACCTCCACCCTCAAACACACTCATATATATGTATGAGTGTGAGCATTTCGTTTGGCTTATGTTATTTCTTGCCTCTTACGTTTGCCTCTTTTTCATTTGGATTTCTTATTTATTTCGTTTGCCGCTTGTTTTTATTGTCTTCATTCGCTCGTCGCTTTTGGCACTGCTGACATAAATTTCGTTGTTCAGTTTTGTTGGGGGTAGTGACTCATGTCTAAAAAAAAAAACAACAACAAAATTAATAAAATTAAGCAGCAAACAAGAAAAAAACTAAGCTGAAGAATATATTGTGCGCAGCGGTAGCAGCAGCGGCAGCGGCGTTTATTGTATCTGTATCTGCATCTGTAGCTGTATCTGTATCTGTATCTGTTAGATACAGATGACACATGCCGTCGAAGCACGTTTCTAGCGTATTTGTATCTTGATGCATGCCGAGCAATTTGCACAGTTGAAGTGTGCCTAGACTGTGGAAAGACGACGTCAACGACGACGGTGCACGCCGTGTGCTCGGGTTCGGATTACGGAGACGCAGTCCAAGCATAACTGCACGTACTATCTGCGGAATATGTATAAGGTATAAATATAGTATATATAAATCCGAGACTATCTTCCGCATGACGTCTGATGCTTATAATACTCATATGCCACAAGGCCTCCAGATCTGAATTCGAATATGTATCTGTATCTGTATCTGTATCTGTATCTGTATCTGTATCTGTATCTGTAGATGAATGTGTGTCCACATCAAAGGCGACAGATCTCAGCTCTAATCAAATAATTATTTAAAGGTGTTTTTCTAGCCCACGCATTGGCCGAAATAAGCACAACAACACCTCAGATATCAGATATTCTGTTGTTGCTCTTTCTTTGTATCTCTGGCAGGCAACGCAGCGGCCGCGATCTTATAGATACACAAACTCTGTGTGTATCTTGCGTTGTGCATTTAAAAAAAAAATCAAATTACGTACGGACTACACCCGCTATACGGACTAAAGCGCACAAATGTTTATACAGTCACAAAGCTATATATATTTTCATATATATATATATACATGTAGACTTCAGAATCGTGTATGTATATAGACTTGGCATTTCTTTTTCAGATACATACACGCAGCTAGATTTTCAGCGCTCGACAGTTTTTGTTGTTATTCTTGTTGTTGTGTTTCATGAAAAATTTGAAATGTGTTTCATTTCGTCTAAATTTAGATGATTGGAAATGGTCTCTAGCCTGTTGAGCGTCCGCCTTGTGGAATGCTCTGCCGTTCTCTATTTAAGCATTTTTAGGGCGTTGTTTGCGCAGTAGATTGAAGAGAATCAGTATTAACTTGGCTTCGAATGCAAACAAAGCAATGCTTAATTGCACTGCGAATCGAACGCTTCATCAAATGCTGCGCAAACAAATTTAGTTTTTTTCCCTTTTCCTTTTGTTTTTTGGTTTTTAATTAAAAAAAATGGAAAACAAATCAAGAGAAATACAATGTGCGCAATGAGCTCTTTTGAATTTTAATTTAATATCAATACTGGGCTCAGCGCCAATGTTTATATGCGAGTAGTTGGGTTGACGTTGTGCTCATAAATTTGTTGACAATTGTTATGCGGAACGCGTGGGCTCAGCTGGCAAACCCTCTACTATTCCCGCACTCTACAACAGGCACACTTTAATCAAGAGAGCGAGTGAGCACGCAGAGGGTTGAGGGGAACAGGGTAACTCTGCACGTCTCATTGCGTTTTTTTTTTTAGATTCAATTAAAATCTTTTGTCATGGCGACCGTTGGCTGTTTTGATTTGATGTTGTTTACTTTTATGCGTTTTCGTGTTGGCCAAGTCGGCTTTATGGGCGCTACCAAAACAAGAAGCAGCCAAGCGTTTGCCCATTGCAATCGGAAGTTGACCATGGCCAGGAGCTGGCTGCATTTCATTTTATTAACCATTGAATAACTGTTCCGCAAAATGAAGCAATTGACCAGGCGTACAAACAATAGCATTGTCTAAATTTATTATACGATGAAAGGGCATTGATCGATGCTATCGCTGACCACTGATCAATGATCACTGATCACTGATCACTGAACGCCGATCACTAAACGTTGACAAGCGAAAGTTTGTGAGCTAAACTTTGTTGGGCTTAATGGTTGGCTGACTCTGATAGGGAAAGTGGGTGGGTTAAATGCAGACTAACAATTTACTTGTCATATGATATTGAACAGTAATTTCTAAATGATATAGTAAAAGATAAACAATAGCCATCGAAATCTGTAGAAAACCTCAATAAAAGATATATTTTGTTGCATATGGATCACTCGAATCTCATCTCACAAGCAGACCAATTTGCCTTTACTATCAAAACAATGACAATACATATACAAACTGAGCAGAGTTATTAGTTAAGAGCTATTGCGTTGAGTGTGGCATTTAAAACAGTCGCATTTCTTGTGTGTGCAAACATTTGCGAACCTTTTTGTTCAGTTTCGTGTAGACTGGGCCAGTCAATTAGCAAGTTTTTATTTATATTTTGGCTTTAGTTTTATTTTGCTTTTAACTAACCGACCGGAGAATTCATAGAAATGCGCTCATCTAGATGGTGGCAGCAGCTGCTGCTGCTATAGCTAAACTTGATATCTATTGCAGAATCGAGCAATGACTCAGCACATGGCACATGGCAATTCCTAAGATACAAATGTGAGTATCTGCAGCCTTCAATTAGCATTTCTCAAGTGCCTGTGCCTGTGGCTGTAGCTGTGCCTGCCCTACAGATTGCGTCA